TTTTTTTTTTGGAGAGGTTTTTGCCATAGGGCGCCTGCGCTCGCCAGATAGACAGAGAGAGACAGAAAGCGAGAAATCACCCCCCGGGGGGATGGCCACGCCGCAGTCCCTTCTCCAGTCTCCTCTCGGGATCTTGGGCACGCACGCACACACGCCTGGTGTGAGTTTTAAGCCACCGGGTCCGGGACTTGAACCGCAGTCGACTATATGGGAGTCCAGCAACATGGCCATTACGCTAACTGCTGGTCCCCTGCAGGCTTCATTTTTCACAAGTGAGTATCTGCTGTCATCATTCCCATTTGATAGGCAAGGAGACTGGTACTTGGGGGAGTGGAGAAATTTGCACAAGGTCACACAGCTAGAAGTAGTGCAGCCAAGATTCAGACACAGGCGGGCGGGGTCCGGATTTCACTCTTGTAACACTCAGGCCATATTAAAAGGCTGTGGGTGGCCGGTAGTACCTTTTACCAAGTTTGGGAATGTAAGAAGATTAGTTTTGAGCACCTTATCTTCAGTGTCCTTTTGCAACATCAACTCTCCAGGACTCAGCTATGGGACGACATAAAATCAAATGGGAAATGAGAAAAGAAGAATGCCCGGGAATGCCACCACCAGGGAGAGCGATGGCAGACTAGCCAGGGACAGAGATCGAGAAAGAGTGGTTAGTGAGGAAAAAAGCCACAAATGGTGATGGGAGAGGTAAGAGTGTGAGTGATCGACTTAACCTAGGAAGCAACTTGGTACACTTGTCCTTTGAGACAAGAAAGTTTGAAAGAGCAAGACAGAAGATGAGGTGGAATGTAGAATAAGGAAGCCTATTTTCTGAAGCAGCTAAGGTGATCTGCTAAGCTTCGCAGGACTGAGATTTGAAAGGGGCTGAGAAGAGTTCTGGGAAATATTTATGACAACTGCACGAGGAAGTCAAAGTGTAAGAGTTGCCTGGTAGCACTCAGGGGCTTGCTATACTCCTCCCCACTGGAAGCTTGCTCACTATAGCCTTGTAAACAGCTACTCCGGATTCAGTATGCAAACCACCATTTAGTTGTACTCATGGGTTGGCTAATGGGTCAGGAGTTCAGGCAGGGCAGGCACATCAGGCGTCTCAGCTCTGTGAAGCCTGGGGCCTCAGCTGGGAACCCTTTGCTGGTTACTTTATTTGTTTTTTAATTGTCAAGAAGAGGGAGAAAGCACTTCCCAGTGGGGCATGGCCATATGACACTGCCAGGATTTTGAGTACACACACGCCTGGGGTGTTTATCAAGCGCCCAGACCTGGATTCAAACTGCATGGTCACATGGAATCCAGCTCCCTTTTAACCTTCAAGGCACAGGATTGACCCTTTGTCGAATTATTTTGAATATACAGGTGCAGTTGTTCCTCCAACCCAGTGTTACAGCTGAATTATTTAGGGGCCAAATTGAGTGCCCTTTTTTTTTTTTTTCTTTGAGAGGTTTTTACCATAGGGTGTGCCATAGGGTGTGTGTGCTCACCAGAAAGACAGAGAGAGAGAAAGCGAGAAATCACCCTCCCCTCCCCCCAGGGAGGATGGCCATGCTGCAACCCCTTCTCCTCCATTCTCTTGGTATCTTGGGCACACACACACACACACACACACACACACACACGGGCCCAGTGTGAGTTTTAGCCATTGGTCCAGGACTCGAACTGCTATTGGCTACATGGGAGTCCAGCAACATAGCCATTATGCCATCTGCTGGTCCCTTGAGTGCATATTTAAAAAGGAAGGAAAAGATTTCATTTCTCACCTAGTGCTGCCCTAGGTTTGTATCCCACTCAGGTCTTTGGTTGCCATATAGAGCTCCAAAGCCTGACTACTTTCTGTCATACCACACTGCTTCCCAGTTCTTGATCATCCCAGGTGACAAGCCACCACGTGAAAGGAAACTTGGGTGATCCATTTCTCATCCTCCCCTGGTACCCTTTTGGGGACCGTTTCTAAAGAGCTGGGTTTAGCCCCAAGTCGTAATAGCAACAGGCGCAGGCACTCCTGTGGGGAGGGCTCCTCTGTGATGGAAGCCGAGCCTTCAGATCACAATCCTCAGACAACAGGGGAGTGTTCCTTTACACACTTGCTGCCCTGCTCAGACAGCTGCTGTTGTTCACTTCAGGTGGTCCTACCACTGCCTGTAAGATCTTTTGTTCATGTTTGTTATTACCCACTCTGGCCTCAGGCTAGAGCTTTTCCATACTCCCAAAGCTCACATCGTTTTCTCAGGCTCAGACTCATGATTGTACAATTCCAGCCTAGGGCAGAGTAGAGACTTGGCAGCTGAGCCGTTCTATCTTCCGCCGGGCTTCTACCACTTGCTAAAGCGATGTGACCTTGGGCAAGTTACTCACCTGCCTGAGCCACAGCTCCTCACCCATCAGAGGCAGTAGCAGTGTCTGCAGTGAGGATCGTGCAGGTAGCCAGTATCCTGCCCTGATCTCATTCTGTACTGGCAGAGATGACTCACCCCTCTGTGCCTGGGAGTAGTCTTATAGGCCCTCGTACCCTGCCCTGCCTTCTTTCTTCCTTAAGTTACTCTATAAACCAACCAGCTCATCTTTTCTTCTAGTGTCAGTTGAAGAAATACTATCTTGGGACCAGCATTTAGCAAAATGGCTATGTCGCTGGACTCCCACATAGTTGATAGTGGTTTGAGTCCCAGACCTGGTGGCTTAAACTCACGCCGGGTGTGTGTGCCTGCGTGCCCAGGATCCCGAGAGAAGAATGGAGGAGAAGGGATTGCAGTGTGGCTGCCCCCCCTGGGGGGTGATTTCTCACTTTCTGTCTCTCTGTCTCTCTCTGTCTGGCAAGTGCACGCACCCTATAGCAAAAACCTCTTCAAAAAAAAGAAATACTCCTATCTCTTTCCACAGTTTACCCTTAAGCCTGGAAAATTTCTCTTCAATGTCGTAGAATCATCTAAATTGAACAGAATTTAGGATATATTGCCGCCTGTACTGTACGCTATGTATGCTCCATGCTATTTTGGTGTGTGAATGTGTGTGGGGTATTGAGCAGTGTTGCCTTATTTAGGGGTGAGCTTGAATGCTAGTTTACATTTCCAGTATGAACAATTCTAGGGAAATACAATAAAGTCCTCTGAATGATGTTGCTAGCATATGTTCTGTATAGATTCTGAGAGTGAAGAGGGGCACAGGGCACATACTCTGTGTCAGACTCCTCTCAGGTGCACTTAGTTACCACTCGACTCTCAAGGCACCAGCTCCGCAGATAGTCCGCCCTGTTGTCCATGGCATACAACAGATAGCTCCTCCTGGCTTCTCCCCTCCAAGTGCAGAAGGGTGAAACTCTCTGCTTTCCTCATGGCGGAGTGACAGAAGGCCAAAGACATATTCCAGAAATACCCCTTACCCAACTTATTTTGTCCAGGTTAAAATTAAAAATGCTCCAAACTCATTTTTGGGAATTAGGCCAACATAGCTAGGCCCCCCCTAGGTTTGTTGTTCTCACAGGAGAGCCTTTCTATGGGACTCTGCAGAAAGGATGCGCTGCCACCTGGGGCTTTCGGTCTCATCCCCAGCCTAATTGGACCTGCTGTTAAGGGACTAATTGTTAAGCCCATTACTGTTGGCATGTATGTTAATTATTTTGAGATTTATGTAATCTTGCAGGTAGTCTCTAGCTACTTTGTAGAACTCCGCTGTTCCACCCTTCAGAGTTTTGGGTGTGCTGACAGATGCCAGCAGCAAGTCTTCTACAAGGCCCAGCCTTGAGCTCGGCTTCAGAGAAGGCCAGCGTTGATGAGGCGTGTCTAAGTAGAAAAGGTAGGGGTAATAGCAGTGCCCGTTCTTGGCTTTTTAGTCTTCAGATCCTTTTCTGTGATAGAGCAGGAAGGGAAGAGAGGTATTTTTGTTTGTTTGTTTTGTTTTTAATTTGCCAGAGGGCAGGTACACTCTACAGGGAAGGAGAAAGGAAGGGAAA